CCCACCCCCACCCCCACCCCTGCTGCTGCTGTTTTGTTTTTGACATTTCAAATAACACTGGCTTTCTAGTTGGGTCCATAGAGATCACTTTGCCCACTCTTACGTTTCTGATTGCTGCTTCAATTTAGCAATCTGCAGAAAGGAAATGAAATGCTCAGTGACTTACTGCTGATATGCAGCACACAAGTAAAGATGACAAATGGAAAGGATTAAATCAAGCGGGTCTTGGGAAGGCGAGGGTAAAAAAAAAAAACTTTCAGGAGGTCTTTAAATTATTCTAACAACTCCATCAAGCCGATCCCAGCAGTAAGCATACTTTATAGCTGAGTGCATTTCCTGATCGTGGCCACAAAAAGAAGAAAATAGAGAGGAGAGTCCACGCTGTATCTCTGTGTAATTAAACCGTTGTCCCAGATGTACACTGAAAAGACTATTGCAAGTGTAGGATTTCTATTAAGCAGGTGATTCCAATTGGTTTAAAGAGTGGTTGGGGACTCGCAGCGTGAGACAGGAGGAAATGAATCGGAGCTGTGTAAGCATGGGGCATTTACTGCTGCTGAAGGGCTTTTAAATGACTCTTAAAGAGAGCAAAGTAGCAGTGAGTGATACCGGTGTGCTCCTCAGGAGGTCACCGGGAGGTTTCAGGGGAGCATGAGGAGCAGACGGAGAGAAGAAGCTCATTACCTGGGCAGTCCCATGGACCTGAAGCCAGAGGGCAAGTGCTAACCAGCGGCAGGCAGGGCAGGACTGACAGGGGCAGAGGAGGAGATTTTGATATTTGTTTCATAGAATTTAACAAAATACTACAAACAAAGACACAGAGACTCGATGCTATTGCAAAGCTTTTATTGAAGAAAGGAAAGACAGTTGACTACATGCCCCTTCCAAAGATCAAGAACACATCAGACGCTTTAGTTTAACAACAGAGGGTCAAGCTCTTTAAGGCGAGTTTCACACTCAACAACATTCAGACTCTGCGGCTGCAGCCTGAAGCATCGTGCCGGATGGAATCATCCACTGTATGGATTTAGAGGAGTAGGTCCAAACAAAGGGATCTTCTTTATTTACTTTGGTAAAGACAAGTAAACATGGCTAAATCTTTGAGTGAGGCACCGTGCACTATGAAATACACAGCAACAGTATAGTGAGTCAATACTGCTCAGTCAAAGGCACTTTAACACACATGGGTAGAACAAAGACAGTAGACAACACAAATACACTGAACAAAGAAGAAAAACATTAAACGGTCTTTTATACTCGTAGCATCAATCTTCTTGAGAAGATTCATGTCAGATATGCTCCCATGAAAATGTGTGATGGTTACACAGACTGTTCATACAAATACCCTAAACAGGAGAGTTTAATACAGCTTTAATGGCACACTGACAACCTACAGCAGAGCTTAACTCTGTGGACCAGACCAGGGTACTTTGTAGAAAACATGCTAATAAGCCAGTAATAAAATATTTTGCAACATTTAATTTTAAAATGTTAAAACCATAAAAAGACATGAATCAGTATAATGTTTCACTGTTAACTGAGCAGTTTGCAGCATTTTTTAATGGCACTTGCCAACTTATTTTCTGCATAAAGAAAATAATTTTTTTTTGCTACTTAATGAAAGCACAAAAAGACTCATTATCACCTTGTAAAGTTGATATGGGGAATGTGTTAGCACATGCAGCACGCAAAGCAAGCATTAACATTCATCTGGAGTGCAATATTAATTCTCCTTTTTGCTCTGGTTTGGTTTCCACCAGCTCCTGAGGGAAATATCTGTGTCTTTAGCTGCTAAATGCTCCTCTATGTTCACCAGCTAGCCTCTAACTGTCTGTCTGCTGCGTGCTGCTGAGCAGGTAGCGTACAGTGGGAGCTGTGAGACTGAACCGAAACAGTAAAGCTATGGACTGTAAAACAAAGAGCTGAAGGATGCTAAAATGCTCTGTAGGGCTGAGGGGAACTGCATTTGATCCATTGTTAATATAAAAATTGATTTGTGCAGATTTTAATTATTAGTAAAAAAACTGAAGTTATAACGCAGCACTGCTCTTTTTCTACTGCATAAAAGTCACTTTACTAACTTTAACTGTGACAACAGCTCTTACTCTGGTGTATAACACTACATCCTCTCAAACATACAAGGTCTGAACATGTGCTTTAAATTGATGGCTGTATTATATGCTGCATAAAATAAATGAATGTTCGATTGCGAACTGGTACATTCACTAAACATCGTACAGAATTCCTAATTTGGGCAGTCAGCAGTTGCTGTGGAAAGCACACTTTCTGCATGTAATGTTGTGAACTACATTCTTACGTATTTGTTTGTAGCTCATAATTACTGCATGCTTCCTCGCATTGTCACTAATTAAGTTAAACACAGCGCTAGAAGGATTCAACTGTGCGATGGTCATGCCTGAAAGCACAGCAAATGTTGCTACACTATTGCAGTGGCAGGTTTTCCCGTAGAGTAAGAACCAGAGGCCGGTCTGAATAATGGATCATTTTGGCTTCAGAAAACTTGAATTGACAATTGAAAAAAACCAAAGCATAAAAGGTCCACTCACTAACTCCCTATTACTTACTAAGCTAGTATTGTTTTTGAGGCAATTGGCTATGAAAAGTACCTGAATTAGAATTTTAAATGAGCACTGTGATACTGTTCTTCGACAGGAGGATTTTCAGTTTCTGCCTGTTAAGCCACTTTGAAATCTTCATTTGTGTTTTCATCCCCAGATGTGTTATACTGCTGTCTAATTATCCAGGCAGGTCAGGAAGCCCCGAATCGACCTTTAACAGACAGTGATCATGCGATGCAACATCTCTGTTAGCCGAAACCTGGCAACATGTGTGACATCATGCTATATAGTCTGTATTTTTTGTCCTCTGTTGCCTAACAACCGGGGGTAATCAGATGACTCACTTAGGCAAGTGTCAAATGGTCAAAGCACCAGCTCTAAGTATGGACGTAATGTAGCTGGTGTGATTTACTGTATGCATTTGTTTAAAGCAGCAGAGATAAAATGAGGACAATAAATGTCTTCTGTAACTAGAAGACACAGATTTGAATGTTTCTTCTCCAGCAGCTTGATGTAATGTTTATAATCTATTTTGAATAATTCATGAAAGATTCTTGAGATTACTGTCAATTGTATCTCTAATTGTATCATGATTTTAGCATATTTATTAACACCTTTTTTTTCCTTCAGGAATGCACTTATCGGTTATGATTTTCACTCAACTGTAAAAGTCTTGTTCCCTTTTGGTTTTTGTAACTGTTTTAATGTGTTGATGGAAAAATTCCTGTGGAAATCGAGTTTAAGTTGCCTGACCTTGTAGAGGACCAGTGGTACTGAGCAGTCACTGTGCTTCTGGGCAATGTGAAATACTAGATTTTAAATGGTCTACAATTTGCTCTACTTTTATGTAGTAAATGTGTCCCAGCCATGGTCTGAATGTCAAATGACTACTCAATATCAGTTTATTAATGGGCTTATTAGCAGAGTTCTTTACAATGTGGTACCCTGGTTGAACACTGCCACAGTTAACTTGATCACTCTGATGTAACCAGACTTACTGATTACAGTAGATACAGTATATAGAGAGGTTTTGTTTGTATAATCACTTTCTGATATCCAAATGGCACTAAATACCACTTCTTAATGTGTGTGGAAAACAGCACAGAGAAGTACAGAGAATTATCTAACAATTAGAATCAACTGCTTTGTTCATAATATATCCATCCACATGCACAAGACATCTGTAATCAGGGCTTGGGAAATACTTTACATAATGTGGACGACTGTAAACCAATCCAGCTAATAAATAGGCAAACCAGTTCTAAACTTTAAAGGTACCCTGTGGAGTTTTTTTGTAAACAAATTCAATTTATGTTTACATTCAGTGTTTCAAGTGTGTTGAATTAATTTCCTTTATTGTAAAACAAAGTCAATTGTTTGTACCTAAAATGGTGCGTTGTTTATATCCATCCAGCCAATCAAATCCCAGGGAAGGGCTGTGCCTTAGGAGACCCCTATGGCCCCGTCTCTGCATACGGGTCCATATGGGTGCAAGGTTCAAACCAAACCAGGACTCACTCATAATAGCATTGCTCCACAGCACTACTAGTGGTTAAAAACTCCACAGGTACCTTTAACTCACCACCATCAAAACTCTTACAACTCATGTTGCTCTATAATTATATTGAAGTTACTATCAAATCAAACTACTGGTCAATGACTCTTGGATGGAACAAATAATGAAATTAGTCATCTTGGGGAAACTCTCGTGGTCCCTTCTTCGCCCATCAACTTGAAACAAACACTAAATATAAAAAAACATGTCAATGGTACAATCAATACTGACAAACAGCACAGTGACGCACAAAGTCACATAGTACCAACAGCATAGTTTTGATTAAAGGATTACTATAAGGACACTTATGCTTGAATCTGTACAGGTAAAATATTTCCTTATTCATAAAATTTCTTATAAAGTGTCGATGCAATTAACATTAAAAATTGCATAGCCATCTCAAATCCGTTATCTCTACCAGACTGCTTACACTACAATCACTAATCTAATCTATGTAATGGTAAATGAGAGAAAAAGTTACATATCTATCTGCCCAAAAACTATATAATTAAACTCAAATATAAGGCCGTATCTATATGAATGAAATGCCATGATTGTAATGTTCAGGCCATTAGAAAATAATCCTATACATGGAAGCAAATTCAATCGGAAAGTACAAAGAAAATATCATGTTCAAAAGGGAATTGCATTCAACAGCTGCCTATTGAGGATTCTGTGTTTGTCATTTTGTGATTCCTGTGGTCCCAATCAATATAATGTAATGTTTAATGTAGCTGCATACGGTACAGTAAATATGGCAGTTTAAATTCAATTCTTTGGTGTTCAGTTATCCAGAACTGTTTTGCAACAATGAGCTTCAGTGTGTAACTGTATCCCTATTTGTGTACCGTCTGTGGATGTGCACTGCAATAAACACTAAAGGATAAAATCATCATGGTTTTTCTAAATACTGCTAAAGCTACAGACATACACACATCCATCCATGAGGTCTTCACCTGTAGGGCAAATGTGGCAAACATTTTGCATGTATTGGTGGAGTCAGACTCCATTTAAGATCCCAAGAACCGGTCAGCGAGAAATATCTGGGCTTGCATGCATGTGCACCCTGGCTACAGCGTGCTGGTGTAAGATTATTATAATATAAGATAATAACACAGAGTGAATATTTATATTGTAACTGTTAACTAGTGGATTGGGAGTAATAGTTTGACATATAGGGAAATATGCTTATTTTCTTTTTAGTTGAGATTGATTGCCACTTTTATATCCGTACAGTCAAGGCTACATCTTAAGCTTAGCTTAGCATAAAGCAAACAGCATAAAGGGCAAACAACTAGCCTGACTCTGTCCAATGGTAAGATACAACATGTGAATTCAAATGAGAGAAAGTGCAGCTCCTCCTCTTTGGAGTCTGCTGTGTTGAACCACCATGTTTCTACAGTAGCCCAGAATGGCCAAACAGAATGACTCTAGATAGGGCATTTTTCACAGCCACTGTAGTTACTCCTACACGCATGGGACAGGAGGGTGAAGCGAGGGTGGTGCAATCAGAAGCTACACTGCAAGACGCCACTAAATCCTACACACTGGTCCTTTAAGTGTACAGTTAAGTTTAAGGCTATCCATTTCCAGTTATTATGTTAATTATTATGCTAAGCTAAGCTATCCACCTTCTGACTGCGGCCTCACATTTAGCATACAGACAAGAAAGAGGCATCAATCTTTTTAGATTTCCCCACTATTGCTTAACAAGAACACAGTTAAAAAGACGCAACCTCTTCTGCTGTGACTGTACCGAGTAAAACATGTATGCAGGTGAACATGTGAGGCTATTTCTTGTTACTGATAGTATGTTGTATACTTGTATACTACTTGTATATATATAGTATGCTGTGGAATGCAAGCTTTTGTGGATTGGTATGTTTGCGAGAGAGAGAGAGAGAGA